GCAATTGCATTATTAAGGCGGAATTGAAAAAAATAGTTAATGTATAAATATTAAATAGTGTGGCTTTCATGTCTATTTGAAATAATTTTATGTTTTCTTTGTGTTGAGAGTACGGAGTTGTCTGAAAAATTAATTTCTTGATACTTTCTAAAATTTTCTATAATGTGAAATTATATAATGTAAAATTATATTTTCAATCTTATCTGTTAAAGTATTGTGCCTGTAAGAAAAATTATAATTTACTTTTTTTTTTAAATAGACAATATTGACATTTCACCAAAAATTTTCATCATATGACACAATTCTGGAGGCATGAAATTAATTTAGAGGTAATCTTTTGAGAAAAAAATATTCAAATTTTAATTAAGAGTCATCGAGAAATGTGATTTAATCAAACTTATAGTCAAACTGATTGATTGTCTCAATGAGACACCCCCAATGATATCAAAATTAGTCTAATACGAGTGAAATCAAGCTTAGATCAAATCATTAAACCACTCTTAAAAGTTTTCTGAACATATTTAGAAGGTCAAACAAATGTCGAATCTAGTAAGCCTATATTCAAATCGAGCTTCTCGACAAGTTAAATTCAGCGATTCCAAGATTGCTAAATTCTGGCATCGTTAGGACACTCAATTGCCAATCAAACACCGTATGATCGAAAGAAGCTCTTCGGACCCTCTGATCAGAGTCTTTCATATTCCTGCAAGTCTAACACCACCTCTACCACCGTCGATCGCCACCGGCCCCCATTGACCACCGTTGATCACCACCAATAACCCTAAACCACTGTTGATCTCTGTCGACCACCACCTGCTGGTTGCCGCCTGTTCCAACAACAAACTCATCTGTATATCGATGTTGTAACTTGAGAATTCTAGGAACTCTTTTCCGCATGTGAGACAAGTGGTTGTAAATGTAACCGAAACTCTTTAGCTGGGTCAGACTCATGTGGTTTTTTTCCTTTCTAGGTTTTTCACGTAAGAACTTCATGTGTCATTTCCAATTTTCTTCTCCCTTTTGAGTGTGTTAAATCTTTGTACCACGCTAAAATGATAATTTGTTACTCTACTACCGTGAATTTTCTAGTTTGCATCAATTATAATTCCCACAAAAATATATATTTATAATTATTACCTTAATTTTTAAAGAAGTTGTTATCTCCACTGGCTTAAAAAAAAAACTTAAAATTAAAAGATATCAAATATAATATTAGGCGTAGATTAGTAAAGGGAAATTATTTTTTATGATGTATTCATTTACATTTTATTTACAATTTTCTTACTAATATTAAAAAAAAAAATTTAGTGCGTACTCCTCTATTCGACAATAACCCGTCAATATTATAACTGATTGACGTTGCCATTAAATAATATTAATACCATCACATCTTTTGTGTCTATAACTTTACTCCGATTCTACTTTGATCCCCAAATTTAAATTGGTATAATTAAGTTGCTATAGTTTGAAATTATTGCACACATTAATGTGGACCTTTTGTGGGATCATGAATCAAATGAGTTCTCCTTAGGCTTCATTTGAGAACAATTCCCCTGCTCCTTTCAATCACATGTAGCGCCGCGTCGAGAAAATATATGTTTGGCACGTCTTCAAACGCCAGAGAGGAAGAATGCGAAAAAATGAGTGTTTCAAACTGGAGATTGAGGTTGTCATTTTGCGAACTTTTAAGGACGGCGAAGTTCCTTCAAATGGAGTCTTCATTATAAATTTATCATTTCTTAATATATGATTGTCACTTAGAATAACAATTAATGAAAATTCTCGCTCTTAGTTTTCTACACTGAGTAAAAAAATGGAAAGATTCACATACATACCACTCAATTAATATGGAATGCATATCCAACCCTTGAAGTACAATTTTTACATACATGTCACCTTCCCTAACCGTGATTTTTTAAAATTTAGGTGGTATTTTTTATATTATATGAAAGATTTGGATGGTATAGATGTAAAAAATTAAAGTTTAGGGCCACACCGAAAATGGTGAGCCTAATGAGGATTTGTACTTATGTTGAGTTAAGCACATTTTTATTATATATGACATGTGCCTAGCTCTTCATATGGTCGGCTTAATCAGGAACATTTAATTTTTATAAATTTTAGTAAAAAGTTTTTGTTCAGTTTATATCACTGTATTTTTTTTATTATATATAAAACTCATCTTATGGTTTTACTTTTAATGCTCAAGATTCTAGATCCTAGCAAGAAAGAAATGTGAGGGTTCAATATTTCAAGTCCAATTGTTATATTTTTTGAATTAGAGTAAAGTATCAAAATAACTCCCTACTTTTTACATGAGATCATTTATCTAGAGTTTATAGAATTGTTAAGTAGCTCTCGGATTTTTTAAATTAAGGTTGAAGTAGTTCTCATTGAGAACTATCAGAGCTCAATTTTAAAATATTAGGAAACTAATTTGACAATTCTATAAATTATGAGATTAAAATAGAATCATATAAATAGTCAAGGATATATATAT